ACAGAAGTCTATGACTTCAATTACCTTCTGCTTTGCTGTCTTCACATCACTTCTTCGTACCACTCCAGTTAAAAGTCAGTATACAGCAGCAAGTATTTTGAAAGATAAGCAGGAAATTAGAAAACATTCCAGCTTTATTAACCCTACTATTTATAAATAACATTATTTATTTAAAAGCATTCAACATTATCCTTTCCCTGTGATGCACATTCTCTGTACTGCTCCTGAAATAAGTAGGCATAATCCTGCAAGCTGTGGCAGCTTTTATTCCTGTCAGTCCTCCTCCTCTGATGGCCCACGACCTCAATGACTCATTGTGTTTGCTGCCTCTCAAGATAGTGAAGAAACTGCTAACCTAAATATTTAGAGTAATGAGTCTCAGACAAATCTGACAGCAGCAAACTAAGGCCAGCTGCAGTTTTTATATTTATATCCAAGCTACTTACAGACTTAGTAAGAATACATTTTGTTGTGGTGGCCTGTCACGAAAGCCCAGGTGGAGGCTCCAGAGCAGTTTATTTGGACTCCGTTTGTGTGGAGCAGCCCATCTGTCCTGAGGAGCAGAACTGAGACACAGGCACCCACCAGCTCCTCCACATTTCACAATGCTGCAGAACAAAAATGTACCTGCTCTGAACTGCCCAGCACAAAATCTGAATTTCCACTGCTGAACACTAATACATGTATTTGCCATTGGTTTTATTTTACTTTTTTTACACAGTGCAGCTTCTTACCACAGCATTTTTTAGCAGATGTTTTACCACGTAGAAGAGATCGACTTCAAAGAATAAATTAGCGGAAGAGAAGTTAAAATACAGATTTATGGCAGAATAAATGAAAGACGGAATTCAGTCATGAGTAAGAGCAAAATGCAGAGGGAGTAGCTACTAATTTGGGTGGGGAGATGGAGATAACAGGGAAGGGAGGACACTGAAAGCAGGTAGGAGGCAGGCTAAATGAAGGAGCTAGATTGAGCAAATACACAGCACTTTAAAGAGCAGTATCAAAGTATGCACTAAGCTGTAATTTCTTAAAGCTTCTTACTGTCACTGGGAAGGGCACAGTAAATCCATCTTGTCAATCAAACGACTAAGGCACACAGGTATGAAGAGGTCTGAGACATTGTCAGTCATTTCTTGACATAGATACAAGAAAAGAAATGTGAACTTGAGGACAGTAAGCTTCTTACATGCTCTACTTCATAAAATTCAAGTTAGTTAAATCACACTACAGAGTCTAATTGTCCTACTAAACTGCCTGGGGCAAACTTGTTTACCAGAGTGTTTCATTCTAAAATGTACATTAAAAAATAAGAGTGGGGAGGAGGTATCAAAAGCCTTTATTTCTGCTTTTCATTCTTCAGAATGTATTATCTTTTCCTGTTTTCTTCCTTTGTGCCTTCCATTTAGTTATTAAGCCTGGCTATACCTGATGGAATCAATACCTGTCATAGCTGCTTTATCACCTTCAGTTAATCCTCGTAGTATTTCCTGTATTACACCCAGTAACTCCTCAATAGTTAACTAACCACAGGGTCACTGCAGGCTGTCTCTGTTTCCTAACCCAGCCAATCACAAGAGAAACATTTTGCAATATTTTAGAGAAAGACATCACAAGAAAAACAGTAGCACGTGACATTCCCAGAACTCATTAGCAGGGACTGCCTGTCACCTCTGCCGTGTCTGCTCTGACAGCCGCCTGCCTCCCACGCTGAGGAGCAGCATGTGCAGCTGAGGAGGTTTAGGCACTCTCAATCCACAGAGAGGGCTGTGATTCCACAGCCTTGTAAAACCCAACAGGTTAAGCCAGGGGGAAAAATCAGAAAAGATTGTTATTTTTTGAGTAGGTATTGTTATCATACTTTGCTCTCCCGTCGTTACTATGACCATTAGAAATATGCTGAAAAAATGAAGAGAAGAATGAGTTTTAGAGGTGACTGACTTCTGGTATGAGCAGAGGCACACTGATGAGAAACTGGGAAGAATTTACTCAATGGTCATCAAATCTGTACTCACCAACTGATATATTAAACATGTCAGTCTCCAGCAATGCTAAATTCAATAAATAAAGTATCAGTGTTCTGAGTTCTGAGTAGCTGTTTTATGAGAATAAAGAACCACACGTATGTTATCCACAATGCACACTGCAATGCCCAACTCCAAGCTCTGTTAATTTTCTCCAGCTCAGTGGAATCTTTTGGATCTCTAGCTAATGCAAGGCTGTTCTCATCTCCAGGTAGGTAAAGACTTCAGAGCAGCTGGGGTTTTGCACATGAGCTTGCTGAAAGAATAAAACAATGGATATGGCAAAAGACATCAGCAAACACCTACAGTTTAAGGAGCTACTACTGGTAGCTTTTTATCCAAGATGGGTATCTATCTACTGCCAAAAAGAGAAAAAGCCTCCTTGTTTTCAAAGCCATAAAGTACTCGTGTCATGGAGCAGATAAAAGGGAGCAAAACACTTTTTTGACAATTTAGCACTTCAAAAACAACTGGAAAACAAACAAACAAACCAACCACAAGGCTGTTAGAAATTTGAGAGGCTGACATATCAAATAGATATCAATAGATCTAGATATCACTATATCTAGAATATCAAACAGATGCTTCTGCTCATGAACCTGCAGGTTCAGGAACAGCTGCCCAGACTCAGAATATCCGAAGCATCTCTAAACAAGCATCAGGAGAAAAGTGACATGCAGCAGCTGGATTATTTGAGTCACATGAGCATTTTGGAATACAAGGCACCACATATGCACCAGTTGTGAATATGAGCATCCCCACCAGGACCAAGGAGCTCTAAGACCACGAGAACTGTGGTAACAGGACAGAGGGAGGAAGGATGGAGGTGCTGACACATCATAGTTAGATTATGCTCTAGCTGAGCACACTCATATTATGCTCTAAGAGTAAAATATTAAGATACCATTCTGAAACACTACTTAACCATTTCTTTAACAACAGGAGAGCTTTAATGCACAACTGAAAACCATTCTGAAACACTACTTAACCATTTATTTAACAAGCTTTAATGCACAACTGAAAGATTTTTTTTTCAGACTGTGATGACTGTCAAACAGATTCTTATTGAAGACAACAGCAAGGGCATAACATCGAAGAGCAAACAAACAAAACCAAACTGTTCCTTTTTAAATAAAAAGACAGTAGAGAAATACTCCTTCCACCCTGTCAGATCCACTGAGGTTTGAAAACAGAGATGGCATCTGTGAGGTGTTTTGGTTTTGATGATTGACTCACTATATCCTGTGAAGAAAAGACTTCTGCCAGTATGGTGTGAGCAACAGCTTACACAGCTACTGCAGACACACGTGTTCTCTTCGGTATGAAGCTTTCATAATCTGAACTGATCTACCCAAATATCAGATAATTTAATTAATGTGGTGCTGGTTGCTCTTAAAGGTTTCATTTACTGCCACTGCAGTGGCAAGTGCCTTTATGTGTCTACTGTCCTTGAGCACAGGCTCTTCTGAAAGCACAGAATTTTCCTCCGAGGATTCAAACATAAGAAATGGTCAAGAATGCTGATGTACAATATCAGGACATTTTGACTGATGGCACAGACATCAGAAACAAGCACTTAGTAAGAACTATGTTGTTCTGCTCTTTTGCTGGGAATATACAGCAGACAATAAAACCCACAGGCTGTGCTACAATATCACACTACACAGAAAGTCTTTCTGAACTAATAACTGAAGCCATGGGTAGGATGACCCTGCTGTGTGGCAGGAAAAGCCCTGTGGACAAACAGTGATAGGCTTAGGACAGAATGACCTTTGTGCTCCACATAAGGAAAGGCAGCCCCAGATCTCAGCCAATCTCAGCAAAGAAAAAGCCCTTGCTGTGAAGAGCTCAGGATGGATCTGTTTCACAAACACTGCTGCATGCTTTATCCCACACGTTCTTATCTCCACAAGTTCCAATTGTGCCAATCAGCTGTCATGATGGCTTTGCTCTAAACACTCTGCTAATCAAGCTAAGAACTAGTTTGGTTTTCTGACTGGAACTACACTTTAATAGCTGGGACAGCAAAAAAGTTTGGAAACTGGAACTTTAAAATTGTGTGGAACATGAAATTCCGGGACAAAGAATACAAAACAAAAATTATTCCACCAAAAAACTGCCACGAAATGCAACCACCCCACACTAACGTACATGTATTCACAAAGCCTCTACTCTGAACCACAAACAAGAACTACAATTAATATAAAATTCTGATAGTTTTATGAACCAGAAACAACAGTGCTTAAGTCTACAGACACACCACCATGTATCTGGAGAGATCCTAATGTACATGGAGACTTGGCCCATCTAGCACTGATTTTACTTGTGCTCCACCTCTGCATAAAACACCCTGCACAGCTAATGTCACGTAGAGGTACATCACAGAGCAAATCTTTCTGCTGGAGCATGTCACAGGTAACACACTGAGCAAAAGTACAGTTATCCAAACCAGAATTAAAGCACCAATTTATCTGTGCATTCCGCTATGGAACAAAGTTTATCCCAAAGAAGGTGGATATTTCTCTTCTCAGAGAAGTATATACCTTGATGACCACTGCAGGTAGCACCATATCACTCAAATTTAATGCTACCACAGGACAGTCCACCCATAATGAATTCACACCAAATACAGACAATCTTCAGGTAAGGACCTCTCTGAATAAGCATTTCTCACTGTTAGTGCAGAACCCGTGCTGTAAATCAATTACATATACTTCAAATTTCACCTTTCGTAAATGGTACAAACTTCTCCCTCCTCTTAGTTAGTAGAAGGAAGCGTTGCCAACAGCACCATTAGCAAAAGAAGGGTGGAGAAAATGAGGGTATTGCAACATTAATATGCATTTTATTTCTGCTTATGAACTGGGTGCTTAAGTCTCCTGTGCGGCCACCTCAGACACACTTGCCAATAAGGCTTAAGAGAGCACAGGGCTTTTAGTGGCCTTTTAGTGGTTTTAGGGCTTCTACTGAAGTGAAATGGGATCTGTTCCTACAGCTTTAGCAATAATAGCGCTGGTTTTTGTTTCTCCTGTTATAATACCAGCAGTGCTGCTGGGGGGGGTATTTTATGACCTTTTCCATTCAGAACTGCCTCCTGGAATTGACCAGCCTCTAAAGCTTCGCCTTTTCCACGCGCTGCTGATCACAACCATGATCTCGGTAAGTTACCTTTCTCAAAACTGGGGATTTCACTTCTGTTTTGCTGGGGTATTTGGGAGCTACAAGATAACTGCTTAAAAAGAAAAGCTGCAGCAGCAATTCACCCCCTTGAAGCCAGTAAGTGCTATCATATGAACCAAATCATGTTGAATTAACTCATAAACCCAGAATGACTGATCTTAAAAGCTTATTTAGATTTCCCTGTTCAAACTGCAGCCACTTTACACTGGGAAACTATTTCGTGTGAAAATGAAACTAATGTACACTATACAGTTATTCAGCCTTTGAATAACTGACTTGCATGTTCATATAATGTTGTCTCTTCAGAAGCAAGCCTACATTACTGCTCCTTTTCTGAATTCTTTCTTTTCAACAGGGAAAGATTTTGGAGAAGCTAGGGATCTGCAGTGATCTAAGCTTACTGCGAGTTGTGCTAGATGGAGTACCACCACGGAGAGATCCAAAACTTCTTATCAAAGATCTCAAAGTAGATGAGGTCCCACTGAGGATTTACCAGCCCAAACAGCCACCTACTGGCAAACGAAGAGGAATACTGTATTTTCATGGAGGTGCTGGCACATTTGGGAGCATCAGTAAGAAATCAGCAAGTTTTTTTTTTAAATCAAATCCAAGCCATTACATTTTTACCTTCAGACACGTGTCAGCCAATATCTCACCTGTCCTTCCCAATGACAAGTCTTTGCAATCTCCATACTAACTGCAAAGCACTTGTGGAATGAGGAGTTTAGCACACAGCTAAGGGCAGTCCCACCGCCCGTTCCTTTGAGCTACAGGCAAAGTTGATGCAAGCAGCAGGTCTGAGGCTTCTAAATCCAGAACTGTGATCTAGAAACCCCCTTGATGAGCCACCAGCTCACAGCAGAGGGACTGTGCTGCTGCAGCTTTTCAAGCTGTTCTGAAAGAAAGAGACACCTTTAAAAAAAGCACACATGCTTAGGTCGCTGGGAGGGGAGTTCAGGATGTTCTCACACCTTAACTAATGACTAGCTGAAAAAAGATAGAGCAATAGTCCTGGAGTAAGGGCTGGAGTTCATGTCTCCCCCTCCTTCTCCTCTGTACTCCATCTTTTATGGAAATGTAATTTAAAAACCTTTTAGGCTAATACAGATCTACTTTCTCAAATAATTTCAGCATGATGAAAATGGCAATGCTATTGCTAAAAAGAATACATTCTGGCCTCATTCTTTGGAAAAATGCTTTGGTTACTTCTCAAGGAGGAATTTCCAGTTTTGGATCTCAACTGGACTATTTCCTGTAAGCTGGGACAGGGCCTCAAAGTACAGAATTTAAAATACATGTCTGTACTCAGCACTTAACTTCTGTGTAGAAACACTGTAGAAGTCAGTGTTTCTCAACCTGCAGCCAAAGGAGGTCTAAAAAATACAACATGCTCCAAGAAAATTTAACAAATACGTGGAAAAAATCTGTAAATATATTCCCATTCATTAAAATAAGGAACCGAAAAGAAGGAAAATACAAATAATAAATGAACATAAAAAATAGAATCAATTTGGGGGAGTTTGATTCTTATGATAACACTGCACAGAATCCTTTATTTCTTTTTGAGAAAGGGAGCCAGCCTTTTGTCTCAGCAGCTGCTGGCTCAGCCTCCTTACTGCTCTGGATCTCCTTCTGAGCAACCAAGTCTGTGTGTGCTTTGCCCAGAAGCCAAGACACCTAACATGGAAAGCTAGATTCCATTCCAGGGGTCAGGCAGGGAAGTTTGTGGGGTTTCACAGAGTAAGTCTCCACCACCACTATGTCAGGCAGACTTCAGTTACCTGCAAATGAGTTTGAAAGCCTACAGAACTCTGTTCAGCATCATGTAGAAACAGAGCATAACTTCTCCCAACTCGGGCTCTGTTCTACACTCTGGTAAAACCACCTGCCCTTGGTTTGCTGCAGAGCACCTCGGTCTGGCTCACCAGCTGTGGCACCTCTAGTTCTAGAGCCAGTTTGGGTGGCAGTGAGGACTCCAGAGATAAGCTTCTATCACCTCAATGAAAGGTCAAATCCTTTTGCTGAAAGAAAGCAAGCCACACCACAGAGTTGCACAGTGCAGGTGTCTTGCACAACAGCTCTGCTGCCGCACCGTCGGCACGCCGAGGGAGCTGCACCACAGCCCGTGGCTCAGCTCCTTCCCACACCTACACCTGACCCTCCACTTGAGTTCCTGTCGGTACTCCCTAACAGGGGAGCAAGTAACACAATGGCCAGTTTTGAAAAGGACTTGGGGAAGCCTGAGATCTACCAGATTAGCGGAAGCTACGATGAAGAACAGAGTTTTGGACAGATAAATATGACTTACTCCCTAAAATCCATATAAATGGAAGCTGTGCTTCACAAATCAATGTAAGCTTTTTAAATGAGTCAGCAAATACAGGAATAAAGGAGACTGGCTTGATAAAACCTCCTCTGATATCCAAGAGTCTCTTAAAGAGGCTACACACTCATGACACAAAAGGGAAGGTCTTTCATTTGGATAAAAACTGAATAAAAGACAGAAAATAGATGGATCGTGGGAGGTTCTTGTGAGATTCCCATAAGGAGATCTGTGCTGGGACCAGTGCCAATCAAGAGAGTCAAAAAAGAAAAAGAGGGTGAAAGCTGGTGTGATCCTAAGTCCTTCAAGGTAGTAAATGGCTGGCTGCAAAAGTGCAGCATGTTTTTATGACAGAAAAGGATTAGACAATAAAGTGACAGGTGAAATGGCGTGTAGAGAAGTCAGAAGAAAAGAGCATCCTAAATTTACAAATAAAACCATGGACTAAGCAGAGTGCTCCCTTGTAGGAAGATCTTGGGATTATGGTAGAAAATTGCTAGAAAATGCTGATACTTAATGCACAGTAGCTGTCACAAAGCAAATAAAATCCTTTAAGAATTATTATTAGGAAAGGAGAAAACAGGAAACTTCTTTATGCCACTGTAATAAATCCATGGTGCATCTCAATATAGTGTACTGCTTATAGCTCTGGTCCCCACACCTCAAAAAGGATACAGCAGCACCAGCAAGGCCCAGAGGGAAGCTGCAGAGGGGGGGAAGGAGCTTCTGTACAGGGAAGTGGATAGACTGCGACTCGTCCGGCTGGGAAGGACAAAGGCAGACACACTAACTGCCCACACAGTCACGAGCAGCAGAAGCCAGCCAGGGAACACTACCCAGAGTTTCTCACAGCTCAAGAGCCAGGGTCACCAAAGGGACGCAGGGAAGGCCAGCTACAAGCCGAGCAAACAGAAATGGCTCTTCACAGCAGTGTGAGCAAGCCATGGCATTCCTCAGCACAAGTCCTGCAGGTTAAAATCAGGGGTTCAAGGAGTGGTTTGAATAATTCAGGGAAGAAACATTGATCAAGGGCATTAAAGAGAAAGACACATTTTCTGTCTCAGAGGAGTGCCCTGAGCCTCAGCTTCTTGTATGCTTATAACTAAATGCTTGTCCTCATCTTATGCTTCTGCTTAGACACCTTTTGTTGACCACCACCCGAGATGTGATACCAGGCTAGGCAGACTTCTATTTTTTCCCTAGTTTTACCATTCCTACATGCTTGTATTATGCCCTAACAGCCACTGACCAACAACCACAAAATACATTAACACGTGAAGCCCCCATTGCACAGCAGAAGTGACCCATGGGTCTCACGTTGTGGTGCCTTCCACACAGCCTAAGTTCAAGGAACTACAGTTTCATTGCAGAAGGATATTTGATTTGTAAATGACCATTTCTGATAAACTTTCTCTTTAGGAGCCTTTGAAAGAGTATGCTGCTACATTGCCAAAAACTGCAACTCAGTGGTTGTGTCTGTTGGGTAAGTGCTACTTTCACACAGAGTATTTATGGTAACTCAGTTCACAGCTGAAACATTTCTGAAAAATACGCTGAGAATATTCCCTGTTTGAGATGGTGCTCCCTGTGTTTGCTTTAGCCTTCCATTCAGTTCAGAAATGTGCTTACAGGCAAAGTATTCCACAGTAGCTGTAACACCATGAGTTTGCCTCACCAATCTTCACTAGTTAAAACCAAACAGAATCTTTAAATTTTAGGGAAAAAGGTTTACAAAACCAGCACACCAGTCAGGCAGGAACGACACAAACTGAAGTTTTGTTGTTACTTTGACAATAACCACAGGATGTTTGGTACTTCAGGTATCGTTTGGCTCCTGAACACCCGTACCCGGGGCAGTATTTTGACTGCCTCAGTGCCACCCTCTACTTCATGAGGAATTTAGAAGAGTACCACGTGGACCCTGCTCTCATCGTCATCAGCGGTGACAGCTGTGGGGCTAATTTTGCCACAGTTATTTGCCAAATACTGCTGAATAAAAGAGATCTCCCAAAAGTACGTGCTCAGGTCTTACTTTACCCAGGACTACAAGGGCTAGATTTCCATCTGCCTTCCTACCAGCAGAACGCCTCAGTCCCCATACTGTTTAGGAAGCTCGTTATCTACTTCTGCTTTCGTTACCTTAATAAGGAACCCTCTGTTTTGGAAGATGTCCTACAAAACCGCCATATTCCTGAGAGCATGAAACAGAAGTATAAAAAGTGGGTAAGTGCTGACATTATTCCTGACAAATTTAAGGTTAGAGGCTACGTACCACAGAAATCCACTTCATATAAACCTGAAGTCCACAAAGTGATCAAAGAACTTTTAGCAATAACTTTTTCCCCACTTCTGGCTGAGGACTCCGTTATTTGCCAGCTCCCCGAATCCTACATCGTGACCTGTGAGTTTGATGTGCTCAGGGATGATGGGCTGCTCTACAAGAAGAGACTAGAGGACAACGGCGTGCAAGTAACCTGGTACCATTCTGAGAGTGGCTTCCATGGAATTTTAGCCTTCTTTGGCTACGGGATTTTTTCCTTTTTATCTGGAAAAAGGATAATGGACAGTGTTGTGAATTATATAAACAGTTTATAAAGGTGTTTTTCAGAACCAAGATGCAAGTCTTACTGTATCCTTGCAAATTTATACTTGACATCAAGAATGTAAACACTTTTGATCTAGGTTTTGGATTTTGACTGCATTTTATACTTTCTACCTTCTCCTTCTGCAGTGACTCTCAAACAAATGTTAAGATTATTTAAAGTACCACCATTCTAGAGAACATTATTATAAATCCACAATCGAGATCCAAAAGTGAGGCACCTGGAACGTGCTGATGCACTCCAACTCTGGCTCTTCAGTACCTTTGTGTGGCTGTGCACGCTCAAGGTAGGCAGCAAGAACATCTCTTCCTGGAGATCCTCTGAATGCCCAGAAATGCTGAAGACAGCAAGTGGAGTCTACTTTGGCCTTTGTAAGAGACAGGAGATGTTTAGGGCACCAGATGGAGAGCCCAGTGACTGTCAGCCCAGGTTCTGTCAAGTCTTATGTCAGCTAGTGAAATTACTGACCTGCAGTTTGACTTCTAGGGGTAGTTTGCACCCTTCTTGAAAATGCATAGCCCAAAGAAAGGCTTCTGTAAGTTCCAGACTGGAGCTAGCATGGGTTCGATTTTATCTGGAGTCTGAGAAATGATGCTTCATTTGGAACATGAATCTTAGACTGGGATCCCTAAACTTTAACAGGTGTGTACACGTTAGGGAAGTGCAGAGGTGAGACTTCGTTTCCTTTTGGAACACTTTGGTTTCCTTTCCACATTATCTGAAGTTCGAGATTACCTGAATTCTGAAGATCACAGATGTAAGAAGGTTGAGAAGCACAACATCACTTATGATACATGACATTTTATTATCACTGTAATGATGTGGCAATTTTGTGATGCTTTAAAAAAATAATAAAAAGTAGCACTTCAAATATTTCTGTTACAAGTGCAAGTCACATCTGCTGAACACACCCTCCCTGATAAATCCACCTGAACAGCCCCTGGTGGAAGGAACAAGGTGACACTGGCACACGGAGACCTTGCTAATCCCACCTCACCAAATCTGTGCTGTGCAGTCATTAACTCACCAGACAACTGGGCTACCCAGGACCACTGTGTCTGAGCATGGAACTCTGGGAACACAACACAAACTGAAAGTCCAGAAACACCACTGGGTGGGCAATTATTTTTTTTTTTTTTTTTAATCTGGACTTTGCTAGTTTTAAACAGAATATTTCCTTCTTCTTCAAAATATTTTACAACAACCACATGTCCTCTTAAATAAAACACTCAACTTCTCACCGGAAAGGATGGAACTCTGGGAACACAACACAAACTGAAAGTCCAGAAACACCACTGGGTGGGCAATTATTTTTTTTTTTTTTTTTAATCTGGACTTTGCTAGTTTTAAACAGAATATTTCCTTCTTCTTCAAAATATTTTACAACAACCATGTGTCCTCTTAAAAACACTCAACTTCTCACTGGAAAGGATTATGAAATTTCACATATATATGCATGTGACATGGTGACATGGACTGAGGAACCCTCAGCAAGTTTGCAGATGACACTGAGCTGTGTGCTGTGGTTGACACACTGGAGGGAAAGGATCCATCCAGGGGCACCTGGACAGCCTTCAGGTGGCCCCATGCCAACCTCATGAGGTTCAACAAGGCCAAGTGCCAGGTCCTGCACCTGGGTTGGGGTAACCCCAAGCACAAATTGAGGCTGGGTGGAGAATGGACTGAGAGCAGGCCTTGGGGGTGCTGGTGGATGAAAAGCTCCACATGAGCCAGCAATGTGCAAGTGCAGCCCAGGAAGCCCCAGTGGCATCTGGGGCTGCATCCCCAGCAGCGTGGGCAGCACGTCCAGGGGGGGGATTCTCGCTCTTTCCACC